CCTGTGGTCCCAGCTACTTGGGAGGCTGAGGCAGGAGACTCGCTTGAGCCCAGGAGTTGGAGGTTGCTGTGAGCTGTAATGCCAGGGCACTCTACCCAGGCAGACAGCTTGAGGCTCTGTCTCAAAAAAAAAAAAAAAAAGAGAGAGAATTTGAGGTTGCTGTGAGCTATGATGCCACAGTATTCTACTCAGGGCAACAGAGTAAGTGAGACTCTGTCTCAATAAATAAATAAATAAAGCAACCCTGAGGTGTTGGAAAGAAAATGGTCACAACTCTCTTCTCCAAAAGTAGTCACGTTGCATCTGTCCTCTGGAGGAACAAAGGATTGTTACTGCTCAGTGGTACACAATAGCATGCCTACCAAAAGTTTTCTGGACGCTTCAGAATGGCAGCCAAAGACTGGACTGCTGGGGACCATCTTGCACCATGACAATATGTCCTCCCACACAGCCCACATCACCATTCAATTCCTGGAATCCACTGAGTGGATTTACAACTTGGCCAGGCAAGGTGGTTCACGCCTGTAATCCCAGCACTTATGAAGCTGTGGCAAGTGGATTGTCTGAGCTCACAGTTTCAAGACAAGCCTGAGCTAGTGTGAGACCTCCATCTCTAAAAATAGCTGGTGTCACACCAGCCACATACACTGAGGTTGGTGGGTTCAAACCCAGCCTGCGCCAGCTAAACAACAATGACAGCTGCAACCAAAAATAGCCAGGCATTGTGGCAGGTGCCTGTAGTCCCAGCTACTTGGGAGACTGAGACTAGAGAATTGCTTAAGCCTGAGAGTTGGAGGTTGCTGTGAGCTGTGACACCATGGCATTCTACCCAAGGCACGAACTTGAAACTCTTGCAAGAACTTGAATTCTCAAAAAAAAAAAAAAGTGGCCGGGTATTTGGTGGGCACCTGTAGTCCATGGGAGGCTGAGGCAAAAGCATCACTTGAGTCCAAGAGTTTGAGGTTGCTATGAGCTATGATGCCACAGCACTCTACCGAGGGCGACAAAGTGAGACTCTGTCTCAAAAAAAAACACAAACAACAACAAAAAATACATATGACTCATTCACCTTACAGTCCTGACCTGGCCCCATGTGATTATTTTTCCCTGCAGTCAAAAATTACTTGTACAGAAGGTGGTTCTCCAGCCCTGAAGAAGCTGTTTATGGGGTGGTGCGTCTGGCTCAGTGTGTAGGGCACTGGCCCCATATACTGTAGGTGGTAGGTTGGAACCCAGCCCTGGCCAAACTGCAACAAAAAATAGCTGGGCATTGTGGCGGATTCCTGTAGTCCCAGCTACTTGGGAGGCTGAGGCAAGAGAATGGCCTAAGCCCAGGAGTTGGAAATTGCTGTGAGCTGTTACGCCACGGCACTCTACTAAGGGTAACAAAGTGAGACTCTGTCTCTTAAAAAAAAAATCATTTTGATTACTATATTTTCTCACAGTAATCGCCATGAGATTCTATGCACTTCTGCTCTTTATAAGCCATTTTTGAAAATATTTCTTTCCACTAAGTGCTGTAAGCTTACTTTTGTAAGCATGAACAGCTTTTTTTTTTTTTTTTTTTAAGAGAGTCTCACTTTGTCACCCTCAGTAGAGTACCATTGCATCACAGCTCACAGCAACCTCCAGCTCTTGGGCTTAGGCGATTTTCTTGCCTCAGCCTCCTGAGTAGCTGGGACTGCAGGCACTCGCCGCAATGCCTAGCTATTTTTTCGTTGCAGTTTGGCCAAGGTTGGGTTCAAACCCACCACCTTCAGTATATGGGACCATTGCCCTACTCACTGAGCCACAGGTGCTACCCATTCAAAATGATTTTACATTTCTTATTTTTTGTATATCTCAAAACTTTCATAGTGTCTCTTGTATTTTTTTTTGTGGAAACTGTGCACATTTTGGGCATGTTTTCTTATGTTTTACTCACAGAGCTGTCATGCCAAATCTTTCAAAAAGTATTTTCTTCTTGATTGTCTCTTTGAATAAAGGTGCAACCAGTGGCTCCTTGTTTCCCAAAAAATCACATACACATTGTATACTTCAGTGTCTGTGATACTGAAGAAAATGATCAGGGGGCAGTGCCCCAGTTCAGGACGGGGATACATTCTCTTTTTTTTTTTTATTTTTGAAGTTTTATTTCATAATATAAGATAATATGAAAAATAACAGGGATACATTCTCAACCCTTGCCAAGTGTGTTAGCACCTGCTATCATAGCATTATAAAAGTGGATTACATGAGACTTGTTATCTTTCACCTTCCTATCTTCATGCTGTGTGGAAATGACTAACTACCTTCCCTGTCTTTGGAACATGATTTAATAATGTCACTTAGGGATAGGAGAAAATCTTACTGTTTCACATGGAGAGTTTTTCATCAATGGTGGACTGATTTCTAGAGAAAAGTCCCTTTTATCACTGCACAGTACCAACTGTGGTTATATTCTTTTGAAGCAAGTCTAAAACCAGGTGATGGACGTAAATTATCTCTCCATAATATTTCTCTCCGTAATATTTCTCCGTAATATTTCTTCTGGAATGATCCAAATGATAGTTCTCTCTCCATATTATCTCTCTGTAATATTTCTTCTGGAATGATCCAAATGATAGTTCTGAATCGATCTTTTTACAATCTCGGGGTCATTGTAGTTTCTCAGAAGGGTCTCTGATTTTTTGGTATATGGCTCCACTGCAAAACAGTAATTTGTGGAAGAATCACACAGAAGATTCACTGCAATTACATACTTGCCAGGTTTAGTTGGTAAAGTGTGAATGGACAGTACCCATGGAAAGACACCAATTCCTTATCGACAATGACAGACGTGTGAGAATTTTAATATAGTGAGAGCTTTATTTATAACCATATTCCAAAGCTCTCAAACTGAAGCAAACTTATTATACTGTCTGTAAGCTTCACATGTTGCAGTATCATTAAAACATAGACATTTCAGTAGAAGTCTTGTTCTGTGTTCTGAAAACATGCATAATAAATCAGAAGATTTCCTGATGTTCTTTTTGTTTTGCCACTGTATACTGTAATTTAGAAGAATTTCAGTTAGTCCTAAAATTTCTCCTTTTACGAAATTGCCAGAATTTTTGGATGAATATGTCACTATTTAATTCTTTGAATAGATTTAGTTTCTGCTTTGTAAACTTGATGCTCCTAATTACAGTTTTGTTATCATTTAATAGTTGGAAAACTTTTAATGAAGCTTTGAGTTCTATTCCTGATCATCCTCATACTGTTAACAATTGTCATCTCTCGTCATCTTTTATTGGCTGCAATTTCCATATCATTCCTGATGGTGCTGGCATCTGAACTGAGGGCTGCTCTGTTTTTATAATTGGGTGTGGTCTTTTCCTCATGGCTTTCATATTTTGTATTTCTTCTTTTTTTTTTTTTTTTTT